AGTTACAAATAAGTCTGTCTGTCTGCTAATGTGGATGCTGCTGCGCTGACGCTTCTAGAAACCGTTTTAACTGCAATTTTTTCCTCCTTGCCTTGGCTTGCCGGCGGGGTGCTGGGCAGGGAGCGGACGAGCTCGGGCGAGAGAGATGCTGGAGGACCCCGAAGCAACACAGGTGACGCCGAGTCAGCACCCGCACCCGTGCTGGCCAAAACCGAGCCGTTTCGGTACTTGGATATTTTCCCTCTCTTCCAGGCCATGTCAGACAGTGTTGATCTGACTGCAAAGGCCAATGCCAAATTGCACGGTTTTGGTCCTAATTGTGGCAGACAAATGCTGCCGGTGGTGGTGCAGCTCCTCAGCCCCAAGCACCCCTGCCTGTACCGGGGTGCCCGTTCCCCGTCTGCACTGGGGAGCAGCCTCCCCCGGTGCCGCTTCCTTACTGCTACCGCTGCCAGCCCCACTGAACGTGCTTATATTTGGATCACCTTGACTGACAGCTGTTTTTCCTCTTTTCTGTTATTCAGACTATACATGTCGTTGGGGTGGGGGATATCGAGGTGCGGCATCATCTCACCAGAGTCACTGTAGGAAAGCCTAAACGCACGCTGAAGTGGAGCCCAAGCAGTAAGCACCGGCACAACGATCTCATTTCACACGCTGCATAAAAAAAAAATATTTCTCGTATTTCTAAAAAAATATTTCTCATATTTCTAAAAAAGCCCAGACAAACAATATGCTGGTGTGGTGGTACGGAGACCTTTGATGACGGTCAGCAGGGAGAACCCGGCCAAGGCACATCAGCAGAGCTGTAGAGGGGTGTGAGGCTCTCGTCCGTCGCGGGAAGGATCTGAGCACAGGGATGAGCAGCCACAACAACGCCTTACGAGTTCGTCGTGCTCGTGCGTCTATCTGCCTCTTGTCCTATGCTCAGGACAACCTCTGGGCTGCGCCTGTCTGTCTGACAAAGGAAGATCTGACTGAAACAGCGTCTAAACTTAACATGAATGAAGCAACATCCATGATGATAATGAACAAGCATTTCCTTGATGTTGGTTTTATGAACGAAAAGGCAGTTTCTTTTAAAATTAGCTAGCTAAGGTAATTTGTTTACTGTACTTCTGCCAAAAAAAAAAAAAATAAAAATTGCTAGTGTTGCTTTTAGCTCGGGTTATAAACCTTAGCCCTCATGCAGGGTTATCAAATTTAAAATTTATGAGCCGCCAGATTAAAAATAGAACTAGGTCAATGGGAGTGCTTCCGAAATGCTGGGGATCAAAACAGATGGATAGCGTGGCGGGCCCTCGCTGCCGAGCTCAGTGGAGAAGCAGCACTGGCAGCAGAGGCGCGGGTGCAGCCAGCGCCGGGGCAGCGATGTGCTGCGGCCATGCCGACGCCGGCTCCCGCCGGGGATCTCCCGTGCAGGGTCTGCGGGGAACGAGCTGCAAAGTCAGGAACGCAGCGCGACATGCATTTATGGCTGCTCAGTGGGGGGGGAAAAGAAGAGGTTTTGCAATTTAATTTGCTAGTTCTCAGGAGCTAATTTGAGGTACGTGGTATCCGGTTAGGAACCACAGACAGAACAAGCGACTTACGGCAAGAAAACAAGCGAAATGTCGTTCAGAGTTATAATAGTCAAGGAAACAGGTATAAGTCACTGTAATTGCATTAACATTAACATGTTTTCTACCGTGTTGGTCTATCTATCAACTAGGACATACAGCGCTCAGAACAAATGCTTTTGGAGAGCAATAAAACACAGCCTGTTGCAGGAGCTCAAAGCACAGAAAACAGAGGAAGAACAGATCTTGCACGTTTAATTAACCTTTCCTGCTGCAAGGAGCATGTCAAACAACTTCAGTGTCACTGATATGCTAACAGAGGAAAAAATAAACATTGATACAAGAATGAAATACAGCAAAAGTCAACCTTCCCTGACAACTTCCAGGAGCGCTGAAAGAACCTGACAATGGAAGCAATGCTGGGTTATCTACATTGAGCAGGCAAATTTGAATTTCATTTTCTTTTTCTTCTTTTTTTTTTATTTTATACCATGCAGAGAGGCAGATAACTGGGTTTAAAAGAGTCTCGCCATTAGAGCCAGATTACGATCTCCAGGGCACGCGTCGTGACGGAGCATGTCACCCTGCGTAGGCGGCATGTCCGACCACCCGTATCGCATCCTCCGGAGCGTTCCCTTCTCCGGGCACCAGCCCCGACCCGCCGAAAGCAACCTGAGAAGCTCTGCCAACATTACAGCTGTATTTCAGTAACGACATAACACTTCGCAGCTTTAAAAAGAAAAACGATTAAGGCAAATGACTTTCTTGCAGTTTCAACTATTTGTATTAAACGTTTACGGTAAGTTACTTTCCCTAAAAAATATTCAGTGCCACATGAAACTCCAGAGCTTAGCTTAGAGAAAGCAAGGGTTTTTTTGAGAGATCTGTTTTCAGTACTAAATACTTGCCTACCACAAGCTGTCCTTGAAAACTGAATACTCGTAAACTAGTAACTCGTCATCCTCAAGACAACAAGGATGATATTTCAATTATCTTTAAAACCAGTAACCAGCAGAGGTGGCAGGCTAACACCTCTCCGTAAGGAACTCCTCTGCTCACATGAAGGAAAGTGGATGCAAAGATAGTTCCCGGCATCACAGAGCGAGAGGAGGATGCTCCTCTTCCCATAAAATCTCGAGCTGCTTTGCTGAAATCCCATCTTAAGTGTGAAAGCCAGCACTAGGCATGGTGGCAGCTTTTGTGTAGGATCTGCAGTCCTCCAGGAATGGGATCCAGACTGGTAAAATCATTATAGTAATTAGATTATAACTTAATATATGCTACGGTGGGAGTATACCGAAGGCTCGATTTACTGCTTTGCAAGGAAGGCAGGTTTGGCCGTGGGTTGAGCAAAACTCTACAAGTGCTGAGTCTTTTCATTTACTGTCCACATGGGAAAAATCAGGAGAAATGTGCAGTGTCTGATGAACAGAAAAAGAAATCTTCAAATCTTTTAATTAAAAAAAAAAAACAGTTTGAATCAACACCAGATTCCTTCCTTAACTTTTATGTTTCCTTTTGTTCTTTTTTTTTTTTCCCCTTTGTTCTTGCTATCTCACTCCTTTTTCATGTTTTCTCATTTTATATTTTACTCAATTTTAAAAGGAGAAGTGTTCATTTGAAATGGAAGCCCCCAAAATTCTGATTTTTAAATGAAACCTCTTTTAGAAATATTTCTGATTTTAAAACACCCCTCTATATGCCTTAAAAAAAAAATACATTACTCACCAAATTGAATGCAGTTTTGCCAGGAGGGTTAGTTCCCACACTCTTTTTCTGTGGCAAATTTACTATAAATCAAAAACATTCTTCTCATCTCTGGAGTTGAGCCCAATCTTCCCTGCTGACAGAAGCCGGGCCCTCAGGAGCATTTGGGGGAGAAAACACTGAATATCTCTCCACGTGTTTGATAAAGAACGACTCTATTATGCTCCTGAAGATGATAACAGGGCAGCAGCAAAAGAAAGATTTTTATGACGGTGGGGAGGTCTCTGCACGCCTGTGTGTGGGGTATGTAACCTGCAGTCTTCTCCCCTCCAAAAAACATCAAACAGAAACTAAAGTCCCAAACCAACAGCCCGTTCGTACCTCTAAACCCCCTCTGTGTGACTCTCGTTCACCTCCACGCAGGTAAATCCACAGTTACTCAGAACAGGTAAAAATTTCCCCCTGCAAGCTTGGCTCATTTCCTAGAAGCATTTAATTTGCTTTGCAAGACGGGGCTGTTCCCAGCAGAAGTTTGGAGGTGGGGAGACACTTGTGTCGGGATTAGAGGCACCAACGCACCTTCTACTTAACGCAGAAGGCCTATGAAGCTGAAGTTTTACATTCGTACTGCGCCCGGATCCATGGCTGTAACGTGAGTCTAAGAAGAGCAGGTTGTCCTGGTTTCGGCTGGGGTAGAGTTCATTTTCTTCCTAGCAGCAGGCACAGTGCTGTGGTTTGGATTTAGTAGGAGAAGAATGCTGATAACACGCTGATGGTTTAGTTGTTGCTCAGCACTGCTTATGCCAGGCAAGGACTTTTCAGCTTCCCATGCTCTGCCAGGGGCACAAGAAGCTGGGAGGGGGCACAGCCAGAAGAGTTGATCCCAACTGCCCCAAGGGCCATTCCATACCATCCGGCGTCATGGGCAGTATGGAAACTGGGGGGGTTGGCCGGGGAGCAGCGATCGCTGCTGGGGAACTGGCTGGGCATCGGTCGGCGGGTGGTGAGCAATTGCATTGGGCAGCACTTGCTTTGTGTATTGTTATTATTATTATCATTATTATACTGTTATTATTATCATTACTATTTTACTTTATTTCAATTCTTAAACTGTTCTTATCCCAGCCCAGGAGTGTTTCTCCCTCTCACTCCTCCGATTCTCTCCCCCATCCCACTGGGGCAGGGGCAGTGAGCGATGGCTGCGTGGTGCTGAGCTGCTGCCTGGGGCTGAACCACGACACAGGTGCACAAAGTCTTTGAGCGAGAGGATTCTGCCAGCTCCAACAGGGTTAAATCCCAACTTACCAGGCTGTGCAACCACTGACCCTTCTTGAAAGCAATCCTTAATTGGTTATAAGCAATTAACATTTATTAACTCAAGCTGGGGCAACACATACATAATAAATCCCCAGTCGTAACTGCAATGATGCTCCACCGGAATACCTGCGTTACCCTCACCGCCGCGAGAAGGCAAATGAGCTGTTTGCAAGTGCTTTCTGCATGTTACCATGCCAATGTCCTCCCAGCAAAGTGCTTTTGTTCCAACTGCTCTGATTCTCAATTAATATGCACCATTCAGCCAGGCTTTATAGCAAACTATACCCTTTTTGAGATGTGCTGTTTGTAAAAGAAAGTAATTTTAAAAATACCCCCCAAAATTACTTTCTCACAAAATATTTACTGCATATTGCACTTGATACAATAAAACCCCCTGAAAGCAAGCAGACTGCTTACCATAAAATGTCAGCTGTCCTCGTGCAACATTTTTCCCTCTCACATTTTCAGCTACGCACTCATAGAGCCCAGCATCTTCTTGCTGAAAATTTGGGATTTCAAGAAGTCCACTCGATCTGTGCCTCCTGGCTTTTCTGGGTATCTGTTTCCCATCCGCTCTCCTCCAGCTAATTGTAGGAACTGGGCTAAATAAGAAAAATAAAGCAAAATAAGAGTCGTACAAAAAGCTACGAGTCTTGTCCTGATAAGCTCTTGTCTGACGAACATAGCACTGTTTCATGTTTGAGGCTGATGAGGACCTGGTCAGTCTGAAGACTCTGTGTAGGATCTGGAGCAATTTTATTATGTGTGGCTTATATATAATGTAAATATACATATGCATACCAATGGTGTATCGCTCACATAGTCTTAAAAGCACGAGACTCTATATTATAAAAATGCCATTTTGACAAAGTTGAATTTGGGGTTCTGCTGTGACAGTAAGTCCATTTTCCTACCAGTCCCACATTTTGATTTTGGAAGCATTGCCAGGGTTTCCTTTAGAAACAAGAGATGCGTTTTAAGTGTTGCATGAGACCTCAGAACAGGAGATGCACAAACACATCTTTACAAAATAAGTTACATCTTCTCTCTTCCTTGGGAGTTTATATTTTTGGTGAGCAAAGCCCCTGCTCCCCAAGTCCCTTGTCTGTTATGAACGCTCGGAATAAGTAACTTCTGCTGAGGCCAGTGAAGGATTAGCAAGTCTGCAAACTCTACAACACAGCACTAGGAAAGGGAGAAGCTGGAGGAATGATAATAACGGATCAAAACTTACTTCCCCAAGGCAAAGCACTCCAGTTTCACCGTTGTTCCTTTTGCAGATGGAACCGTTTCTGGGAACTGCACCTCTATTTTCGGCTCATACTCTCCCATCACCCCTGTGAACATAAAATAGATGCTAAGGCTCGGTTGAATTTTCGCAATAAATCCGCAACTGTTCCCGTGCTAGCACAGAGCTGTTCTATACATCATTACTTGCCCAATTAATCCATTCATTTTAAACACGGCCTGTTTCTAACAGCCGTGTAGTGTGGGCTCTTTTCCCATTTACTGCCAGAGGAAAATCTGAACCAGTGCTCCACACCATCTGCCCAAGATTAAAATTTCTTCATGGCTCTGTTCCTTTTTGCTTTTGAATATTCAGGGTTTTTGCAGGTAACTTGTGAAATAAGGAAAGCAATAATAAGGGAGGTTCAGCACCTTCTAGAAAATGAAATGCGGAACAAACAGCCATTAGAAAAAGTTTTAAAAGCACTGGAGCTAATCAAGGCTTCTATTAACTTCAAGGATTTAGATGCGCAGAGATCATATACTCTTTGGGTAATTTCTTTATTTTTACTGCCCCAGTAAATCACGTATCGTGGCAGCCCTCTTTATGAAATTGTGTTTAAAAATTTGTGCACATAAAAAGGCCATTACATTAATGATAAATGGCTACATTTCCAGTCGCTGTACTGTCTTAAAACCGGCACATATAATTTCACCAATAGTGATTATCGGCTAATTGATGATTGCAGTTTAAATCTTAACT